GTAATTTTTCATTTAAAACCATTCACACGCTGTAGCCTGTAGGTGTCAGCAAAGACTGACCAGAAAGTGCGTCTGGCCGGAGCGAAGTGGTTTTCTGCTTTCTGCCTTGTGCCTCTTTTCCCTCTGTGAGCCTTTTGGCCCTGTGTTCTCCAATTCTCTCTCTCTCTCTCTCTTCCTCCCCCCTCTCTCCCTGCCTCCCTCTCTTTCTCCCCCCTCTCCACACCACCCCCTCTCTCTGTCTCCCTCTCTCTCCCTCCCTCCCTCTCTTTCTCTCTCTCTCTCTCCATCTCCCCCTCTGTCTGTCTCCCTTTCTCTCTTCCTCCCTCTCTCTCTCCCCCTCCCTCCCTCTCTCTCTCCTTCCCTCTCTCCTCTCTCTCTCTCTCTCTCTCTCTCTCTCTCTCTCTCTCTCTCTCTTTCTTGGTCTCTTTCCGTCTCTGTCCATGATCCCCAAGCAAATGCAACCCTAGATAATCCTTGATGAATTCTATTCACTTCTCCAGCCAGTCCCTGGAGTCTGGGTTTGGACCTCACTATGGGGAACACACAAACGCAAGCCTGTGAAGGATGTTAGACTTTCTACTTAGGTGCATTGGCCACAATGCCAGGAAGGTGTGCCTTTACAATCTGAAAAAGATGGAGCTGAGCAGGCAGAAGAGCAGTCTTGGAGAGAGGTGAGAGGGTGTGGCTCAGTCTGCAGACTGCTTTCCTGGTGTGCTGGAAGCTCTGGGTTTGATCTCTAGATGTGGTGGGGGATCAGGAGCTCAGAGTCATCCTTGCTACCTAGAGACTTCAAGTCTAGCCTGGGCTAAGTGAGACCTGGAGGGGAGAGTCAAGGTAGCTGAGTGGTTAAGGGTGTCCTTATGTAGTTCAGGCTGTCCTGGAACACTTTATAGACCAGAATGGCCTCACACTCACAGAGATCACCTGCCTCCCAAGAGCTGGGATTAAAGGCGTGCGCCACCACCGCCCCCAGCTTTAGGCTACAGTCTTTTTACAGCTACCTCTATTCTCTGTGGTTTTTATACCCACCTCTACTTTCTAATATGGCTCCTTTAAACAGTTCATTAGTGTAGTTATGTTGACCCATGCATGGCACAGTATGTCAGTGGATGCCAGGGGACAACTTGTGGGGTTGGCTCTTTTCTTCCACCCTGAGGGTCCTGGGGATGGGACTCGGGTCATCAGGCTTGGGGTCAAACACCTCTGCCTACGCTGCCATCTCTCTGGTCTTATGAACTCGTTTAAAAGTATATTTTGCCCTTGTACATACACCCTGAGAAAGGTCTCTTTGGATCCACTGTAGCATTTGGCCTGTCTTGGTGAACCCACCCGGATTGTTTCTGTCATTAGAGAGTGGTTGTTCTGTATAATTCAGATAAGGGGAATCGACCCAGAATTTTCGGCTTCACTAACAGTCAACAGAGCTTGAGTTGCTCCAAGGAAAACAGATGTCTGACATGTCCTGGAGTTTCGGAGCGTTTGGCCCCACTGGGTAGTGTGCATTATCTTAACATTGCTAATACCAGTGGGAACAAAGCAATCCAATCGGCTGGACACAGTTAACACGTTTTCTTAGTAGTAATTACTGGTTTTGGTTCTAGGAGTTTAGGTCGTTACCCTCCCTGGGGGTTCCCTTAGGCAACTCTAAAATGGGGCCCTGCCCATCTAAAATCTGGAAGTGTCTTAAGCCAAATTATAGGAGACAATAAGGGAGCCCTTTGGGGAGGTGGTGAGAGTTTGAATATTTTCAAACATGAAGATTTGCTTTGAATAAAGTAGCAGGTTTTGGTCAGCAACAATCAAAACAAAACTGTGGTTAGCAGCAGGACGTAACACCACAGGCCTGATGATCAGCATTCTTACCACACAGGAAAACATACCATGGGGATGCTCAACTTTTAAAGGCTTTATAACATTAAAGAAATGTTTTAAGATATATATGGTCCAGGTGTGGTGGCTCACACCTTTAGTCCCTCCTCTAGGGAGGCAGAGGTAGTAGAGTCTGAGTTTGAGGCCAGCCTGGTCCACATAGCAGCAAACAGTTTCCCCACCCGAGCATTCTCCCCTTTGATGATTCTCTGTTCCCACAGGCCCTATGCCAGTGGGTAGGATTTGTGTTTCTCATTAGATCTATGCCCTGCTTGTGGAAGTAGCTTCCTAGGGGCTCACATGGAGGTCAGCCCCTCACTGTTTCTTAGATTTAGTCTATCCATGAAGGGGCTCAAGACGCTGGGCTATCACGTCTCAGTCATGTCTTCACAGATGAGCCGAATGAGGTTCCTTCTAACCCAGCAATGGGCTAATATGGTAGAGAACTCAGAGAATCCCTGAGCTGAAAGGAAGCATGACTGCACACTCAAGGGATGCTTGGTGACAGCAGGAGACAGGGGCTGCATGTTAGCCAGCAAACATGCTGAGAACAAAAGACAGTGTCCAGAAACCCAGCTCAGAATAAACCAACAAACCAGTGACCAAGCCACAGGGAGGTCCAGGCTCCAGAAGGAATTCAGCAGCACCCACCTGAAGAGTCACACAGGGCCCAACTCATATCTGTCGCCAACATGAAGGTAAGACGTTCATACACATAAAATAAACACATCTTTTAAAACAATTCTTAGAAGTAAGGCAAAATGACCAGAATTTGAACCAGGATAAATTACAGTAAGAGTTGAGTGTGTGGTTAGAGGTCTAATTAGCCATCTCAAGGTTTCTTGGCTTTCTTACAATTTTTCTACAAGTTTGAATTTTTTTTTTCAAAATGAAAAGCTCAAAATACCATAATCTCTGAGTTCAAACACTAAAAACTGCTTAGAAATAAATAAAAAGTGAAACACTACTATGAGAATTTAGCATAATTTTGTAGCCAAATGTGGGGTCTGTGGAAAGAAAAAAGACAGAAAGACATTGCAGTGGGTATGGTGGAAACAGATGGTACAGGGAAATGGTCACCTTTAAATACAATTATCAGGAACCAAAATTTAAAAAAAGTCAGAGTCACGTGAGCTGCACACAGGTGAAGAGGGACTGTGCCGGCCAAAGAAGGAAGGAAATGAAACGATAAGAATAGCAAAGTGACGCTCTGAACTCAGAGCAGCGTAAGGTCAACGAAAACAAAAACTGGAAACTATACACAGACGCGGCGATCGAGAAAAAAGAGTGAGGAACCGCGCTCCAGTGTAAGGAATCTGCACCACACACAGACACACACACACAGAGAGAGAGAGAGAGAGAGAGAGAGAGAGAGAGAGAGAGAGAGAGAGAGAGCAAGGAAACACAGAGAGCAAAATGTATGTCTGTGCTTCATAAAAATATATACAAACCTTGAATAAAAGTAAAGTAAATGAAGCCGACTACAGGATGAGCCGCTAGGCTTGGGCTTGGGGGTGGGGGTCTCACAGCAAAGTGTCTGGGGCCAGAGAGATGGCTCTGCAGTTAAGATCACTGTCTGCCCTCCCACGGGACCTCGGTTCAATTCCCACCTCCCCCTCCCCCAGCACACATGGCTCCTCTTCCCGGCCATCCTCTGCGAGCCTCGCCCAGATACACTTGAATTAATGAGTGCTCTCCCCACCCCTTGATTTCTCCATCTTTTGGCAGAGGAGAGGCCATGCCCTTGTCACCAGGGTCCTCCTGAGAAAACTGTGGCTGGAGCAGGGATCATCGTTTGGGGGAAACGTAGTGACTTTGGATGTCATGCTCTATGTTGAGGGCTACCGAACTCTCTCCCAGGCCTCATGTACATGGAAACCAGCTAGCACAAAGGGGTCTAACCCATGACCTCTGCCCACACACACCTGCTGTGGTGGGAGTCCACAGTTTGTCTTCTGAGCTGTTTTCCCTGGCCCATCAGACCCTGGTCTCCAGAGTTCCCACACAGCTGCCCACACACAATGTGCCACAGCCCATTGCTCTTGCCTCCACAATCCTATAGGGTTAAACGCCTTCCCGCTTATCTTCATTTCTTCTTATTCCTTGTGTTTCTTTTTCTTGATTTTGCTATTAATTTATTCATCCCCTGTGTATGGCTGTTTTGCTTGCATATATGTCTATGCACTGAACCCGGGTCCTCTGAAAGAGCAGCCAAGTGCTCTTAGCCACTGAACCGTCCCTCCAGCCACACAATTCTTTTCCTTGCTGGCAGCTGACTTCCCAACCTTAATTCCAAAAGCAATTCCGAAAACCAACTTTGTACACCCAGCTGCATCTCCACTGGTAAACAGACATCACCAGACAGTCCCCTCTCCTCTAAAGATGCAACCGCCCCTCCCCTGTGACATTATGGGAGAAACAGCCTGAACACTGAACAGGAACGACAAAGGCCACTACTGTGGGCTCACGGAATGCTGGGTGTACTCTTACTCTTGGCTCTTTATAGGAATGAACTCATTTACCCCTCAGAAGATCACTTGCAGGCTGGCAAGGTGGATCAGTGAGTGAAGGCATCTGATGCCAGGCCAGAGACCCGAGTTCAATCCCTAGAACCCACACAGTGGGAGGAGAGAACCCACACAGTGGAGGAGAGAACCCACACAGTGGAGGAGAGAATCCACTCCTGCAAACTGTCCTTTGACCTCTAGTGGCAAGAGCCCACACATGGACATGTATGTACTCCCATGCATGCATACACACACACACTCATGCACACATGCGTTCATGCATTCATGCATGCATGCGCACACATGCGTGGGCACACACACACACACACACACACACACACACACACACACACACACACACGCTCGCACGCATGCAGAGTAAGTAAAATGCAATTTCAAAAGGCCTCTTATGAGCTAAGCTGTTAGCCCCGCCCTCTTCCTCACCCGGTGACTCTATCTCATTACAGCTTAATTTCTTCTTACAAATTATAATTCTGTCCAGTTGTTTCATGCAGACGGGAAATCGGGAGGTGGCACTGGCTAGGTCACAAGATGAGATCAACTTCAGCCACACTCTGCCACGGCCCCTCCTCCAAAGCCCCTGGACAAATCTGAGGAAGGCCAGTAATTCTACCAGTTTATTTCTTAGGCGTGGTTGCTTACAACATACTGCCCTCTGTGATGGGGTGGGCCTTCGAGAAGGCCTTGAACCCCCTCTTCCGGAGGGCCTTGGGCCCCCTCTTCTTGGGCCCCCTCTTCTTGGGCCCCCTCTTCCGGAGGGCCTTGGGTCCCCTCTTCCTGAGGACCTTGGGTCCCCTCTTCTTGGACCCCCTCTTCCAGAGGGCCTCGAACTCTTCCTCAGATCCGTTTGCCTCAGAGAACAGCCGGGGATGATGACTTCACTATGAACAACCCAAGCTGTTAATATTTACATGGGGAAGGGGAACGGAGGAAACTATGACAGAAGAAACTGGGGTGTCCGGAAGATGTTAGGGGCCACGGAGACATCCTCTGTAGGATTCTGCCTCTAATGCCGTCCTGCAGACAGAGAGAGGTGATGGTCTGGTAGACCCAGCATTTGTCCATGTTACCCACCTGATACCAGAGCCCTTCAGACACTGATAATGCAAATACCAGCCACCAATGACTAAGACAAAGGCGCTACCTCCAGCCCTCCCTTCGGGTACTCTGTGGGGCGGGAGGGGAGCTCAGGCTCCCTTCTTCCCTCTCTAGAACCATGTAGCTTGAGTGAGGTCTTTATTTAACCACCCCCTTTGTTAAATGGTCCTTACTGTGAGGACTATTAAGAGAAGACAACACCCCACCCCTTCTGGGGACCCATGAGCCACAGACCAACAGGAATGTTACCTTCTGGGTAAGTAGATCCAGGGAGAGGAATGTAGCCTAAAAGAGAAAGACACCGATTAGCCCAGTCTTGTGGACAGAAGAACCCAGCATTCTTAGTCCCTTACAACAGAAGACTTGGGAATGAGGGAAGTGATCACAGACAGAAAATGAGAGAGACAGAAGGAGGAAGAGGAGGAGGGCTGGGGAGGGCTCTGGGGATCACTCACTGGAGAGGCGAGCCTTCCGCCAACTGAAAAAGCCAAAACAGAAGATGATGAAGCCCAGACCCAGGGTGACAGCAGACACAGACACCTTCACCGTCTGGATGGGGGACAGCCCGATTGCTGCAAAGTAATGGACAGCTCTTAGAACCAATATCTACAGCTTAGTCTCACTCAGGCCACTCTATTTCCTTCTGCCTGCACCTACAGGGATCAAAGGTCTTTATCCCAGCCTAAAGGGTCTGGTGCTCATCAACTCACTCCCAAGAAAATGCCTTTCTTCAACCACACTATCCACTTCCAGAACAGTCACCACCCATTTTCTGCATGCCCCAGCCCTCCAGAGCCTCCCTGGTCCCCGATAAGGATTCTCAAGGCATTGTCTGTGGTTCCTCCACCCCCAGGGCATCATCCCCAACAGCCAGGGTTGGGTTCCATCTTTACTCTGGGCAGCTTCCTGTTAAAATGCCTCCCTCCATCCCACCTATGGTGAGATATTGTCTGTGATTTATTAAAGCAGTCCTGAGGATTCAGAAAGCAAAGTCATCCACAAGCCATAGAAGCCAGGCACACACCTTTAATCCCAGCAGCCAGAAGCTAGGAGGTGGTGGTACACACCTTTAACCCTAAGATTTAGGATTAAGAGATCGACGGATCTCTGTGAGTCCAAGGCCACCTACACAGGAGTGAATCAGTCTAAAAGAGAATTATAGCTCACACTTTCAATTCCAACATTAGGGAAGTATATAAGACAGAAGCGAGGTCTCAGAGAGGCAGTCATTCTCCAGCCACGCTGAGGAGAGGCAGCAGTTTGAGATTTGGTGAAGAGTTTGTGCGTGGATCAACCCTTTCAGTCTGACCTAGAGGTGAGAGCTAGTGGCCGGCTGCATTGCTTTTCTGATATTCAGCTTGAAGTTTGAGCCCCAATATTGGTCTCTGGGTCTTTAATTTTTCGTGTTACACACACCCTATGGCCCTTCGTCATCCTGCTTGCCAGAGCTGCTCCTACTCTGGGCTATATCCCACCTGGATTCTTACCCCAACATCAGAAGAGTACCCCATCACCAAAGGAACTCCTTGCATGCCCTACAAAGGAAAGACTGACCCTGGAAAGCTCAATGGCATGTGTGCTCCCCTCTCCCCTTGTTTCCTGTCCATGCTGGCTAGTTTTGTTTCAGCTTGACACAGGCTAGAGTCATTTGAGAGATGGGAACCTCAACTGAGAAAATGCCTCTATAAGATCGGGCTGTAGGGCATTTTCTTAATTAGTGATTGATGTGGGAGGGCCCAGCCCATTGTGGTGGTCCTGGGTTCTATAAAAAGCAGGCTGAGCAGTCATGAGGAGCAAGCCAGTGAGCAGCTCCCCTCCGTGACTCCTGCTTTCAGGTTCGTGCCCTACTTGAGTTCCTGTTGAGATGGACCAATTAAGCCAAATAAACCCTTTCCTCCCCAACTTGCTTTCGTTCATGGTGTTTCCTCACTGCAATAGTGACCCTAACTAGGACACCATCCCCTCCCAGGGACCCACTAGAGCCAACAGCAGACACACACTCCCAGCAAGGGAAGACCGGGCTCCCCAGCAGATTAGGCCCCTCCTCCCTGACTTTTCCTAGCTGCCCTTCCCCTTCCTCATTTTTAAAAAGATTTATTTTTTTTTATGTATGAGTGCTCTATCTGCATGTCTGCCTGCAGACCAGAAGAGGGCACCAGATCTCATTACAGATGGTTGTGAGCCACCATGTGGTTGCTGGGAATTGAACTCAGGACCTCTGGAAGAGCAGCCAATGCTCTTAACCTCTGAGCCAACTCTCCAGCCCCTCTTCCTCATTTCTTCCTCTCTTCTCTAACAGTAACCTCCAAATTGGTATGTACCCCCTCAATATGTATGCACCCCCTCATTACCTTAAGCAACCCAGTCCTAGGGCTCAAATAGTGTCAATGAGCTCTTTATCAAAAACTTCACATGTCCACCAAAGTGTCTACTGGCCATGGCTCAAAAAAGCTGCCAAATTCAGCACAGCCCTATCTATACCAAAAGAAGATTCCCTTCCTCCTCCAGTCTTCATTATGTTTCCAGTCTCCAGTCCTGGCCTGACAAGATGGCTGAACATTAGGAAAACTAAAACAGCGAATTCCAGAGCTTCGTTCCAGAAGTGTTACCGAGCCTACATTCTTTGGGGGAGACAATCGGCCTCTCCTCTTTCCCACAAACAGATGGGAGACATCCATGCCACAGCTGAGGAGAAATGGCTGACTCTTCTATCTTTAGTTCATGACATTAACTCTGGCTGCAAACCCTCAAACTCCCCATGCCAGCATTCCCTTCTCTACCACACACCAGGCACCCATCCACGTCTTACTCCTCCAAAATATCAACGTCCCTTTCCCAACCACGGACATCCCAGCTCCCATACACTTACTCCAGTCCTGACGGACCGGCTCGGAGGTCGCACTGTGCTGTACCACACAGGTGTAGATGTCCCCATAAGAGGGGGTCAAGGCTAGGTAGGAGACAGTCTGGTATGTCCAGTCCCCATTGGTCTGGGCAGTACTCTCTTTGATGTTGTGTGGTATGACAAGATTCCCGTTCTTCATCCACGTGACGGTCACATCCGCCGGGTAGAAGCCCCAGACATAGCAGGCCAACATCACAGGCTCCTTCGTGTTAATAGGAGCAGTTCGGGCTACTTGGACAGACGGCGGTCCTGCGTGGGAGAAACAGTTATGGTTTAAAGGAAGTCCCGTTTCATTCCTTCAGAGATTTCTCCAACCGCTGAGTAAAAGAGGAAATAGAACGCCCTCCCTCTTTCTTTTTCCCTCCCAAGTCATGTTTGATGACAACTGCTACATGCCATCTGGGCTATGAGCTCTCTGGGCAGACGCTGTGTGTTTTCTGAGATGGGAGTCTCATATAATAGCCTCACACTCACTATGTAGCTAGGGACGGTCCTAAGTCCTGGTCTTCTGCATCCCTCAAGTACTGGTACCGCAGGTCTGTACCTCCATGCCTGGTGATGGAATTAAGCTTCTACCAGCTCATCCTCCCAAGTGGCTCCCCTGCTCGCCTCTATCAGAGTACTTTTTGAGCAATATCTCAAGTGAAAATCCAAGAAATTATGTTAAAATGCAGACTCCCTCAGCTTCATCTTAAGTATTGTCTCCCTGTCTACAGTGGTGCCTAGTGATTTTCGGCCAAGTAATGCTGAAAATGTGGCTCAGAAACCACATTTTATGACACAGGGCTCTAACCTATGGAGATCTTCAAAGTCTGCTTATAAAAACTTTAAGCCGTTCTCGTGGGCTGTTCTCAATGTAAAGGATTTGGGGGAAGAAGAGAGATGGCCTCGGAATCCCTGGAACACCTCCAGATGTCCCCGTGTCTGTACCCACTCCAAATATGGGACAACAAAATCTGAGCTAAAGAACCAGGAACAAGCCAGGCTGGGGAGCCAGGTCTGTAATCCCAGCTAACTGGGAAGCTGAAACAGGAGAGTTGCAAGTTCAAGGCCAGCTTGGGCAACTTAGACCCTGACTCAGAACAAATAGGACAAAGGGGGGTAGTTTGTTGGGTATGGTCGAGGCCATAAGTTCAATCCCCAGTAGTGAAAAACATTCTTTAACCAAAATAAATAAAAATAAGAGACAGGTACATTTGGGGGGAAGTCACCAGGGGTTTTCTGACTCTGATCTGTGCCCTAACGTGCTGTGGCTCCTGGCCTCATGTCAGCTCCCTCCCTTCACACCGCCCATCTTCTGTTCCACACAGTTTCCCTCCACGGGCAGCCTTCCACTCCCTACATCCGCTCTGCCCTCCTGACCGTGCTTCCCGACCGCCCCTCTGCACCCCCTCTGCTCACTCGTTCTGTGGGTCAGTGCATCCCAGAAGGGCTGGGTGTGCATGGCACAGTCCTGAAGCCCTTTGCCCAAGCGCCGGATCAGGGCCTCGTTTGTGTTCAGGCTTTTTGAAATGAATACAGCCAAATTATACAGCACCCCAAATTCAATGGGGACTATTTGTCCTGACTCTGGATCCCAGCAGGCCAGCAGATCTTTGTTGAAGGCAACACAGTATGTGAAATCCTTTGGCGTTCCACTATCATCCAGCAGGCAGGTGCTCTCCACATGAGCCACAAAGCCACCTGGAGGAGCCAGAAAACAGAAGACGGATCAGTGCCTGCTTGTCGAATGGCGCAATTGCAAATACGGTCTCTGCCCTTAGATGCTGGCACAAAGTTCCTAAAACCTTTGTAACTGCTTGAGTGGTGGGAGTAGGGGGTAGATGCATTTTCTGTTCTAATGTCTGGTCTTTAACTTGACAGAGCTCTGAATCCCTGGGAACTGGGTGACTATGGGGTCTTTTCTTCTAATGGGGTAAATCTTGGTGGAACACAGAGGCGGGGTTATCAGTGGAGAGACTGAGCCATGGTTAGAAACCTGAGACTCGTATCCCCATCCTTGTAGAAAAGCAGGGTGGGGACTGGAGGCTGGGTTAAAACCTAAGTCCTGCTCTGTATGCATAATAAATAAATAAATCTTAAAATAAATAGATAAATCCTGTGGCCGGGCGCTGGTGGTTCACGCTGTTAATCTCAGCACTCAAGAGGCAGAGACAGGTGGATCTCTGTAAGTTTGAGGCCAGCCTGGTCCACATACAGAGCGAGTTCCAGGACAGGCTCCAAAGCAATACAGAGAAATCCTGTCTTGAAAAAACAAACATAAATAAATAAACAAATCCTGTATATCTGATGAAGCCTAAAAAAAAAAAAAAAAAAACCCAAATTGTGGGGTTCTGACATCTTCCCAGTTGGCAAACATATCCTTACACTGGGGAAGTGGCATACCCCCACCTGTACCTGGGGTCTGTCTGCACTTCCTCCTATGAACCCCCCCCTCCGCTTTGTTCTTTCAAATATTCCTTGTGACAGCGGTTCACTGTAACCCCAGTTCCAGGCAGTGTGATGACCTTCCAGGTTCCTCAGGCACACACAGATGTGGTGAACACGCAGGTAAGCAGACATGCACACACGTACATGGACAAACTCTTGCAATGAATGAACAATAATAAACCATTTGCATGGATTGTGTTCCTTCTCTATATCCAAGCCAAGGGGCTCTAGCTCAGCCAAGCTGGACAGCTGTGGACAATCCTGAGCTTACTGCTTGAGCTTGTGGTCGGATGGGGGACTGTCTCAAGGGGGTGAGCCTTCAGCCCACTGGCCTGTGTTAACTTCTGTAGAGTCAGCACTGAATTGAACTGTAGGATGTCTATCCAGTCCGGGAGAATTGGGCTGGGGAACGCAACAGGAATGTTGAAGTTTTTTTTGTTTTGTTTTGTTGTTTGTTTGTTTTTTTTTTTTCTGTACTGAGCAGAGAACCTAAGCTTCAGTTGCAGTCAGAGATTTCCTGCTGACCATACTGCCACTCTGGGGACTCTGGCAGACTCCGGAAAGGGGAAAACAGCAGCAACAGAGACATTTATAGAGTCTTTCCTTGAGTTTTCAACCTGATACCTGACTATTTCCTTTTTTTTTTTTTTTTTTTTTTTGGTTTTTGAGACAGGGTTTCTCTGTGGCGTTGGAGCCTGTCCTGGAACTAGCCATTGTAGACCAGGCTGGTCTCAAACTCACAGAAATCCACCTGCCTCTGCCTCCCGGAGTGCCGGGACTAAAGGCATGTGGCACCACCGCCTGGCCAACTATTTACTTTTTAAAGATGTATTTATGTTGTTGTATGTGTATGGATGTTCTGCCTGCATGCATGTGTGTGCTCCACATTTGAGCCTGGTGCCATCAAAGGCCAGAAAATGAGCATCAGGTTCCCCTGAAACTAGAGTCACAGACAGCTGTGAGCCACCGTGTGAGCGCTGCGAACTGAACCTGGGTCCTCTCAAGAGCAACCAGTTCTCTTAACAGCTGAGCCACCTCTCCAGGCCCTGAAACTAAATTCGGCCACTGTTTTTCATCTACAGTGGTCGTAAGTTTTACAACAATACATTTAAATGACTCGGTTTACCAGGCTTTCTTGACATGACAACAGCAAACCAAACAAACAAACTAAAAACAGAAAAGACATTTTGAAGTCAATCTCACTTTTCCGCCAATATAATACAATACAACAGGATTGACTTTCACATCCGTCAGAGGCATCCAGTTTGGGAATGAGCTAGAGACTCATGTGCACAAAACTGAAAACAGTTAGCACCGGTTCCTCTCCATGTGACACTGAGCAACGGGGGAGAACAGCCCCAGACCCCTGCACAGTAAGCCCGGCTGTCCACCCCAAACACAGACCTTCAGAGCAGTGCCGGGGGCCATGGCAAAAGTAACCTTGGACCTGTAAGAGACTTGGGCAGAAGCTGCCAGTATAACCCATTATAGTTAAAAGAATAGCTGCCTCCAATCCTTTCCTCCCTGATACATAACGTCTGGGCTCATGAAGTATCTTATTGAAGGAAAGATACATTTCATGGTCAGGTCACCTAGCAACCCTTCCCCCTTCTAACCCGCTATCTAACACCTGCACCCTGCGACCTTGGTAACCTCCTGCACCCTCAAGGACTCACACACAGGGACATTCCTCAGCCTGGTTATCAGGCAAGCAGCCTCAAAGGACCTCTCCCTTCCTGCCAAGCACTCCGTTTTGCACCCCTATATCAGGTCCCTGTGAAAAATAAAAATTTGCAGCTTGATCAGAAACCTGTCTTGCTGTCTGTCGTTCCTTCTTCTCCCCGACCCTATGGTCCTAGGTTCTTTGGTGACTGCAGCACATCGGGGTGTGAGCTCACGTGGTGCCCCTCAGGTTGGAGCATTTCAGCACATTATGGACAGGGAGATAAAGGGCCAAGCAAAGGGGGGGGCGCACTGGTAATCCCATCACTGAGGCAGGAGGATTGCGGTGAATTCAAGGCTAGCCTGGCTTATACAGCATGACTCTCTCCAATGAAAGGAAAAAAAGAGACAGACTGACTGACTAAGGGGAAGGGAAGGGAGAGAGAAAGAAATGGAGTCAAGACAAAGAGTCAGCCTTGTTCTACGCTGCAAATATTCTTGACTTTTGACCCCGTACAAGTCTACAGAGCACTTACTACATGCCGGGTTCCACGCTAGGAACCAGGATGAAGGGGTACACGGTCCTAATCTACATTCCAGCAGGGACATCCACTGCACAATCTATAAAAACAGCTCATTGTTAAAACTGCTGTAAAAACACAGTCCAAAGGAGGAGTGCCACACACCAGGGAGACTGGCTCGTCTGGGGCACTCAAACCTGCTAGCAAAACTGAACATGTTTTACCCCAGACAGCAGGAGAGGGGTGCCCAGGAGGAGAGGGAGGTTCCCAAGAGGGGATTCCTTACCTACTCCCACACAGCCCAGACTGAGGCCCAGCAGCAGCTGCAGGAGCATTGCCATGCTCCTCTCTGTGAAGGTGCAGGAAGATCAGGCCCCTGGGCTGAATCTTGCAGGGGCCTCCAAGTCTCTCCTGTCCCAGCCTGGACAAACGTCTCCACACACTGAGGAAAATACGGTGCCTGTTGCTCAGGTCCCCTGTTTCTTGCTGCACAAGTGTCCTCAGGTCACTCAACCCCCTTAGAGCCTCAACTACTAACCAAATCCTGGGTCCCAAAGGAAGAGTTGTCAGATTAGCTGGGTTGGCGGGTCAGACCAATCATTGAGTGTCTCAGCCCAGCATCATCAGTTGCTAGGTAAACCTCCTAGCGATCTAGGCTTTGAGAACCGGCCTGGAGGTGGTTTCCTGAAGGTTTCTGTTTTGGGGGTAGTCGCTGAAGCATTCCCAGGATATGCAGGCCTGGCCTGGCCTGCCCACCGAATTAACTTTCTCCTCTCACGCCCTTCCAAAACACCACTTCTAGACAACCTTCTTTGTCTCTGAAAGGGAGGTCACTTAGGAGGTAGTGCATAAACTCCTGTCACTCATCAGGACATGGGTGGCAGAGGGGGGGTTGTAGGGCAGGAAGGAGGCTCAGAGTGCACAGTGTCAAAGCAAGACTGAAAGACAGAAGCAATCCACCTTAGAGGACAGGAGCGGGTCTGGAGACCCATTCCCTCTGGGGCAGCCTATCAGGCTTCCTCTCTTCCCTGTCTATAGTAGCTGCTCTGGGATCCAGGAAACCCACTCCTCCCCTGAAGATATTGGGGAAAAGCTGACCATGGGCCCAAAGCCCACCTGTCTCCCCTGAAAGCTCTCAACTTCCTCAAATGTGTTCCTGATGCTCCGTTCTGTCTCCAGCTGGTCTCAGAGCTAGAGTGGTGAAATGCGGCCTTCTTACTCTTCTGCTGGAGAAGACAGCGTCTACTGAGCACGCTTTGCGTGTGTATGTATATGTGCACACGCTCCTGTATGTGGGTGCTTGTGTCCACAGGCATGCAGGCGTGTGTGTGCAAATGTACATGAAGCCCACAGGAAGAGCTCCCACCTGGTAGGGTGTTGTTTAAGACAGAGTCTCTCACTGGCCTGGAGCTTGCCTAGTAGGCTGGACTAGCCCGGAAGCCCAGGGATCCACCCACTCCGCCTCCTCAGGACTGGGACCACACCCATGTACACCTGACCCTTTTATTTACTTATCTTTAATGAGGGTCCTGGGGCTGGACTCAGACACTCACACCGTGCAGGACTTTACCAGCTGAGTCTGCCCAGATCCTAATGCACTTTTTTTTCAGTCCTAAGAATTCAGCCCAGGGCCTCACACATGTCAGTGTGTCAACTGTCAATCACACAAGTGATAGTTTCTCCTTGTGCATACAAAGCCTTAAGTTGACTCCCCACCTCTACCTCTGCCCTCAGAGGGCTTTGAGGTTTCCTTTCAAGACTCAAAAAACAGTATGGAGGTTCACATGCCAAGATTACAGGTTTTAACAGCTTTCTTTATACTAAACACACACACACACACACACACGCACACAGACCATACACACATACACACACACACAGAGTCCACATACACATTCACACACACACACACACACACACACACACACACACATATACACACACGAATATATACACATACACACAGACCATATATTCACACACACATACACACAAGCACACACACACTACAGAAAAACACACACACACACACACACACACACCACACATCTGCACACACTCACGCATACACAAACACACAAACCACAAGCACACCCACACACTCACTTCATCCTGGCCTGGGATGAACCAAGATGAAAGTTAGTGACGCATCTGCTAAGAAAAGGAGGAAGAGAGGAGCCACTGTCCACTCCCCACCCCACTCCAGCTGTCTCCCCGACCCCTCCCTGCTCAGGGCTCCCTCTGCTCCAGGAGCTGCTGTCTCTTCTACTTGCTGTTGTGACAGCTTCAAAACACAGTGGTTCCCCAGCCACCGACTCCTTTCCCAGAATGCCTCCCTGCCCTCGCAGGAATCAGCTCTTGGCACCCTTTTCTATGTCTTCACTCCAGCCCTAGAGAAATCCTGCCATGCCTCTGCCTGCACCCTCACAGGTGTGGCCATGGCAGTGAGGCTGAGTGGAGTCCCCTCTGGTGTCCAGCTCTCTGCTCCAGCAGTCAAAGGAGATGTGAATCCCCGTGAGACACCACAGGAAGCTGTGGGTTTCACTTCCATATTCCTGTGAACATGGAGATTTTAGACTCAGAACGGAAAACCCAGAGACCTGTGCTCAGCGGTTCCTTCCTCCCCCGCCTCTGCCACAGAGGCAGTTATGCCCTCCCAGTTGGTAGGGACACCTCTGCTGCCCTGTCCTCCATCAATTTACCATTATGCAGTAACAGGACCCCCATCAGGGTCCCGGGCACTTGTCTTTCAAGGTCACTACATGAAGACCCGCACACTGAGCCCTCCACACACCACACACACACACACACACACACACACACACACACACACACACACCCTCCACCTAGCCTGGTTCCCACGTGCCTGCAGGGGGTAACACTAGGGCTTATGTACATAGTATAGAAAATCATTTGCCACAGTGGGGAAAGATGGCTTCTCTGTAGCATGGATAATAAAAACCCAGACACAGATATTGGGTTAAAGCTCAAGATCGGAAAAGCAAAGCGGCCAGCCACTTGAGAGCTCTCACCTCTACCAATGCTCAGACCGAATGGGCGATCCACCCAACCTCAGATTGAATCTCCAGACTGCACTGCTGCTCACCAAATCTGACTGCACTGAGCTCTTTATATTCTCTCTAGTGCTGGGATTGAAGGCCCGAGCTCTGTTTCTCTTTTAGACTGATTCACTCTCCTGTAGCCCAGAGTGGCCTTGAACTCTCAGAGATCCATATGCCTCTGTCTCCCGAATTCCTGGGGTTAAAGGTGTGCGCCAGCGCTGCTCAGCTTCTACGGCTGACTGGTGTGGCTGGCTTTGCATCCTGATCTTTGGGCAAGCTTTATTAGATCATAAGCCATATATCGCCACAGTTCTCAGCCCCCATCTGAAGCCAGGGAAGAAGGAAGAAACCCTGATGTCAAGCTAGTTAGCTGGAGAGCCAGAAGAGAGGTCTCCACAGGCAAGGTGGCCGGGCATCCTCTGTGGAGGGGCATGAGGCAGACCTTGGCTAACATGCTGGATTCACATGGAAGGAAAGGCACTAGCATCTAGTCAGGTGTGGCAGGGCTGTTGGGGGTGTACAAGGGAATGGGGCTGTTTGAAACAGAAGCGAGGGCCAATATTGACACCATCACTGGAGGTGCACACGAAGAGAAGTCACAGACGCAATTTATGTTTTCCCTGGGGGAGGGGCCTTAACCATAGGAATCTCTCCTAGGCATTTCCTAAATTCATTCCATGTAAGCTCTCAGCTTCCTCTCCTGACAGATGGTTTTAATTCAAGGCCCCACGTTATGACAGAAAAAAAAAAAAAAAAAAAGTTGAACCAGTCAATCATTTACTATATAAAACAAAGAGCAAGAGACCAGATCACAGGGCTCTGACAGCCAGAACTAAACAATTTTGCTCAAGGAGTCAGGGAGTCAATTGTATGCAGATTTCACTGCTGAACGGCCAACTGGAATTTTTTTTTTTATTTTGAGGCGGCTTCTGGGAGCTGGGATTACCGGTGTGTGCCACCGTGCCCAGCAGAAGCATTCTCAGCACCTATCCTGTCCCTAGTTCCTGCACAGAGTAACATGTCCCCAGAAGTCACAAGGAAAAGCTGAAAACACAGCTTTAAAATTGACAAAATGGTGTGGTGTGGTGGTTGAATCCGGAAGTCACCCTGCTTGGGAGGTGGGAGCTTCGGACCAGGAATCCAGGGTCATCCCAGCTACATGAGATTATGTCTCAACAATGACCAAAGCTGACAAAAATGTCTGAATCAGTTACTGAAAGATAAAGGAACCGTGGAAAGGTACACAAGAAAAGCCAAGGCCGTGTGTCAGTGGGGACAAAGGGGCAGCGCAGCCATCTTGCTCTAATAAGCACTCTCTGACCTCTGAACTGAAAATTGCAAGCTTGCTGGTGAAAAGTCATTATCAAATCATTACCCTGAAAAGTCTGTCCTTGAAAATTCAGAGAAAGGGGGCTGGAGAGATGGCTCAGAGGTTAAGAGCACTGACTGCTCTTCCAGAGGTCCTGAGTTCAATTCCCAGCAACCACATGTTGGCTCACACCCATCTATAATGAGATCTGGTGCCCTCTTCCACCTACAGGCAGACAAGCACGGAGAACATTGTATACAAAATAAATAAAATATTTTAAAGAAAGGAAGGAAGAGAGAAAGAAAGAAAGAAAGAAAGAAAGAAAGAAAGAAAGAAAGAAAGAAAGAAAGAAAATTCGGAGAAAGATAGAGTAGGGGCTGGAGGATCGGATGGGGGCAGATTCCTGGGAGCTGAGTGTGAGCTGGACCTGGAGTTGGCTGAGATAGGAACAAGCTACTGTGAAGACCGGCATGGCTCCTCCAAGGAGGAATGAGGAAGGAATTTGCCCAGGAATGGGATTCCTGTTGGGTAACATTTCCGCTCTAGGAGAAGGTGTCACATTCAGGCTATCCCAGTACTTGGGGAAGGGGCAGGAGGACCAAGAATTCAAAGTTATCCTCAGCTACATCGGGAGTTCAGGGCCAGGCTGGTCTACATGGGACTTCAACTCAAAGGAAGAGAGAGCACCAGGCTGAGCACAACTCCCGATGCTTCTAGGTTAAGTTAGCCTACCCTAGAGTGCCCTGCTGGAGTTCATCCTGATGTGGCCCGGGCGCTAAGCAGGGTCAATCAGGCTTGTAATGGGTGCGGGAACCGCCGATCAAAGAGGCAAGCAGGGTGGGATCCATTGCAATCCCAGCAGCAGGGGGATGCACGAGGTGGGGGGAGGGGGTCAATTCAGCTACACAGCAAGTTCAAGGCCATCTGGGGACCGTACGGCTCATATATCATCACTTGATGAGCGAGCATGTAGTCCTAGCCTGTCACGAGGCTTGGAGGCGAATTAGCTAGAGTTAGATACAGCAGGTAAAAATCTGGTAAAGTGCCAGCACTCCACTCTGAAGGCAGGGATGGTAGATCTCCTGTGAGTTGGAGGCCAGCTGTAGTGGCATCTTGCCTTGCCAGTGAACTTGTAATTGTGCCCACACCCTTTGGGCGTGGTTTCAGGGCAGTTGTGACCGCTAAAGGTAGAGGAGGGGGTGTGTGCTCTCTTGGGTTGCCGAGAGCATAGGAAGAGCAGAGACAGCATTTTCTGGAGCAGGAAGACCTCAGCGGTTATTATCATTTCTCTTGGGTCTGGAGAACTCATTTAACCACCCCCCCCCCAGCCTTCTGCCAGCCTGGTCTACATGGTAAGTTGGCCAGAGCCATACAGTGAGACTCACTCTCTGTCTCTCTGTCTCTCTCTCTCTGTCTCTCTCTCTCTCTCTCTCTCTCTCTCTCTCTCTCTCTCTCTCACACACACACACACACACACACTATAATAATAATGATAACTAATAAAATCAGTTTTAAGCTTTGATTGGCATGAAACTAAAGGATACATATGAAGTAGAACAGAAACCAGAAAGCAATATGGACCAGGTTCACAAAGGTAAAATGAGAATAAAACAAAAGCATCTCCAAGGGAGAAAATCAAATACTGCAGATAGAGGTGAAACAAGCTGCAGAGATGCTCAGAGGTTAAGAGCACTGGCTGCTCTCCCGGAGGACCCAGGTTGACTCCAGCACGCACGTGGCTGCTCACAACCGTGTGTAACTCCAGGGGATCTAATGCCTTCTCACTTCTGACAACACCACCAGTGTGTGTGGTACATGGACATATAGGTAGGCAAAACACCCACAGGCACACAAGTTTTAAGTCCTGTGACGCAGCAGACAAAAGACAACGGCGCTGTTCCCTGTCCTTTCTCCCTGGGAACCTGTTCCCAGCATTCTTCAGATATTAACTTAAGATTCACAGAAGAACTGGGGGTGTGACAAGTGTTTAGAGCACTTACCTAAAGTGCTAGCATGAGGGGCTAGCAGCTAAAGCTCTTGCCTTACAGTATGAGGGCCAGAGTTCTGATCCCTGGAGCCCAGGGAAAGGCCACAGAGACACGGCGGCCCACTAGTAATTCCAGCCTCCGAGGTGGCAGAGAGAGCAATGCTCAGAGCAGGTGGCTAGCAAGACTAGCCAAGTCAGTGAGCTCTGGGTTTGAATGAGTGGCTGTCTCAGTGCAGAAGGTGGAAGATTGGAGGAGGACGGGGGGTTCCTGGTATCTGCCTCCCACATGGCTGCCCACCCACACACGCATGCAAAAACATGTGTGTACATATGGAAAACAGAAAAAGAAGGCAGAGCATCACAGAAATAAATAAATAAATAGTCATTAGGGTTACAGCTCTACAGGGGGACACCACTGCCATCATCCATCACCGAAAACTGACGTGAAGGAACAGAGACCGCAAGTCACTCATCCAAGAGCACACAGTGAAACTCTGACGGCCATGCGTTCCCACAGTCTTTATCAGAACACTCTGCTCTTGGAAAGAACTGGATGGGTTCCCTTAGACTCTGATACAATATGAGAAATGGAGATGGCCTTGCCAATATCAAACTAATTTCATGAGTTAGCCTCAGCTGCCTCCAACAGCAACTCCCACACCCTATGGAAAGCAAAGGATAAAACGTGTATGGGGCAGTTTACCAGCAGTGGTCGTGTGACCCCCACCCCCCGCCGGTTCCCACCATCTGCCTGGACAGCGCCCACAGTTATCCTAAGAGAGTTCATGAGGCCACTGAAAGGCTTGGAAGACTGCGTGCTTCTCTGCCCTCTGCCCTCACTGACTGCTCCTGCTTCTCTTTAGGGGCTCAAAGAGTATGGCTGTACTGAACCGACCAATCAGAGAGCAGCTAGAGGCAGAGCCTTCCATGCCTGAACTCCCATTTTCCCAGGTACCCCAAGGGCTGAAGGGAGTGAGGTATTCCTCAAGGAAGAAGCCATAAACAGCTTCACTGGCAACATAGCACGCAGAGAGGGGGAGACCAAAAACACATGCAATTTCCTCAACCATTTTATTGATTATTGGAAACTCTCTCTGCTTTCCGCTCTCACATATTTTACACAAGCTGATGGGATTAAAAAGCTGCCATCAGCTATGCTGAGATCAGGATACAGGAGCTGGGCTGGGAGAGCGGCTTTCCCGTCTCCCTCCCTAATGAGCCGTGTCCAGGTTAAGGTATGTTGACTCTGAAATGAGTCAGGAGTCCAGAAGCAAATCCCACAAGTGAAGAAGGCACAGTGGGCTGGGGTGCGGCTTGGCGGCAGAATGCTTGCCTAGCTTGGGAGGGAGGGGTCAAGCTAATGTTAAAAATTAAGGTTTATTTCTTCCAAGTGGGAAGGTATGAGGTGATGAGGAGTGGTGCCCTGGGCTCCTGATCCGAGTTCTTCTGGATGCAACTCCAAGGACAGCAGAGCCCTCAGCCCAGACACCCACACACTGGCAAACACCCTGAGGGGTCCCAGGGGCTTCTGCTCCGATGAGAGGCCCTGGGTAGGCACCGGGAACCTTGGGCATCCCTGCTGGCAAGGCCTGTGCTCAGGTCAGAAGACTCAGTCTGAGGAGAGAGCAGGGTGAAGGAAAGTCACTGGGGGGAAATCTTCCTCCCCACTCCCCACC